TTTTGTTGAGGATTTTTGCATCTATATTCATCAGTGATACTGGTCTGCAATTTTCTTCTTTTGTAGTATCTTTTTCTGGTTTTGGTATCAGGGTGATGGTGGCCTCATAGAATGAGTTTGGGAGTGTTCCTTCCTCTGCAATTTTTTGGAAGAGTTTGAGAAGGATGGATGTTAGGTCTTCTCTAAATGTTTGATAGAATTCACCTGTGAAGCCATCTGGTCCTGGGCTTTTGTTTGTTGGAAGATTTTTAATCACAGTTTCAATTTCATGACTTGTGATTGTTCTGTTCGTATTTTCTATTTCTTCCTGCTTTAGTCTTGGAAGGTTATACCTTTCTAAGAGTTTGTCCATTTCTTCCAGGTTGTCCATTTTATTGGCATAGAGTTGCGTGTAGTAGTCTCTTAGGATGCTTTGTATTTCTGCAATGTCTGTTGTAACTTCTCCTTTTTCATTTCTAATTTTATTGATTTGAGTCCTCTCCCTCTTTTTCTTGATGAGTGTGGCTAATGGTTTATCAATTTTGTTTATCTTCTCAAAGAACCAGCTTTTAGTTTTATTGATCCTTGCTTGGTTTCTTTGTTTCTCTCTCATTTATTTCTGCTCTAATCTTTATGATTTCTTTCCTTCTGATAACTTTGGGTTTTGTTTGTTCTTCTTTCTCTAGTTCCTTTAGGTGTAAGGTTAGATTGTTTATGTGAGATTTTTCTTGTTTCTTGAGGTAGGCTTGTATAGCTATAAACTTCCCTCTTAGAACTGCTTTTGCTGCATCCCATAGGTTTTGGATCATGTGTTTTCAGTATCATTTGTCTCTAGGTATTTTTTGATTTCCTCTTTGCTTTCTTCAGTGATCTCTTGGTTATTTAGTAACATATTGTTTAGCCTCCATGCGTTTGTGTTTTTTTACATTTTTTCCCTGTGATTGATTTCTAATCTCATAGCACTGTGGTCAGAAAAGAGGCTTGATATGATTTCAGTTTTCTTAAATTTACTGAGCCTTTATTTGTGGCCCGAGATGTGATGTATCCTGGAGAATGTTCCATGTGCACTTGAGAAGAAAGTGTAATCTGTTTTTGGATGGAATGTCCTATAAATATCAATTCAATCTGTCCGGTCTATTGTGTCATTTAAAGCTTGTGTTTCCTTATTAATTTTCTGTTTGGATGATCTGTCCATTGGTGTAAGTGAGGTGTTGAAGTTCCCACTATTACTGTGTTACTGTCGATTTCCTCTTTTAGAGCTGTTAGCAGTTGCCTTATGTGTTGAGGTGCTCGTATGTTGGGTGCATATATATTTATAATTGTTATATCTTCTTCTTGGGTTGATCCCTTGATTATTATGTAGTGTCCTTCCTTGTCTCCTGTAACATTCTTTATTTTAAAGTCTATTTTATCTGATATGAGTATTGCTACTCCAGCGTTCTTTTGGTTTCTATTTGCATGGAATATCTTTTTCCATCCCCTTACTTTCAGTCTGAATGTGTCCCTAGGTCTTAAGTAGGTCTCTTGTAGGCAGCATATATATGGGTCTTGCTTTTGTATCCATTCAGCAAGCCTGTGTCTTTTGGTTGGAGCATTTAATCCATTCACGTTTAAAGTAATTATCGATATGTATGTTCCTATGACCATTTTCTTAATTGTTTTGGGTTTGTTTTTGTAGGACTTTTTCCTCTCTTGTGTTTCCCACTTAGAGAAGTTCCTTTAGCATTTGTTGTAGCGCTGGTTTGGTGGAGCTGAATTCTCTTAGCTTTTGCTTGTCTGTAAAGCTTTTGATGTCACCATCAAATCTGAATGAGATCCTTGCTGGGTAGGGTAATCTTGGTTGTAGTTTCTTCCCTTTCATCACTTTAAATATATCACGCCACTCCCTTCTGGCTCGTAGAGTTTCTGCTGAGAAATCAGCTGTTTACCTTATGAGAGTTCCCTTGTATGTTACTTGTCGTTCTTCCCTTGCTGCTTTCAGCAGTTTGTCTTTAATCTTTGCCAGTTTGATTACTGTGTGTCTCGGCGTGTTTCTCCTTGGGTTTATCCTGTATGGGACTCTCTGTGCTTCCTGGGCTTGGGTGGCTATTTCCTTTCCCACGTTAGGGAAGTTTTTGGCTATAATCTCTTCAAATATCTTCTCAGGTCCTTTCTCTCTCTCTCCTCCTTCTGGGACCCCTATAATATGAATGTTGTTGTGTTGAATGTTGTTGCATTTAATGTTGTCCCAGAGGTCTCTTAGGCTGTCTTCATTTCCTTTCAATCTTTTTTCTTTATTCTGTTCCGCAGCAGTGAATCCCACCATCCTGTCTTCCAGGTCACTTATCCGTTCTTCTGCTTCAGTTATTCTGCTATTGATTCCTTCTAGTGTAGTTTTCTTTTCAGTTATTGTATTGTTCATCTCTGTTTGTTTGTTCTTTAATTCTTCCAGATCTTTGTTAAACATTTCTTGCATCTTCTTGATCTTTGCCTCCATTCTTTTTACGAGGTCCTGGATCATCTTCACTATCATTATTCTGAATTCTTTTTCTGGGAGGTTTTCTATCTCCACTTCATTTAGTTGTTTTTCTGGGGTTTTTATCTTGTTCCTTCATCTGGTACATAGCCCTCTGCCTTTTCATCTTGTCTTTCTGTGCATGTCGCCTTTTTGGTTTCTGCCTTAAATGCACCATGGTCAGAGAACACATCTGTATAATTTTGGCATGTGAGACTTACTCTCTGGCTCAGCATGTGGTCTTTCTTGGTGAGCTCTTAAACGGTGTGTATTCTGTGGTTCTTTGGTACAGTGTTCTAGAACTCTCCATTAGGTCAGGGTGATCCAGAGCTTTGATCAGATCTTCCATGGCCTTGCAGATTTTTGTGGCAGTGGGGCAGTGGGGGAGTCTAGTTATTCTGTCAGGTTATGAGAGAGAGAGTGTTAAAGTCTCCAATTATGATTGCAGATCTGTCTACTTTTCCCTTTAATTCTATGAATTTTTTGCTCATGGTTTTTGAAGCTCTGTTATGAATAAGCACACACAGTGAATTGCCTTTTTATTATGAAATTTCACTTTTTGTCTCTGTAATGCTTTGTGAATATACCTGTGAATATAGCCTCTCCAGCATCCTTAAGATTAGTGTTTGCACAGAATTTCTTTTCCCACTCTTTTACTCTGAACCTTGGAATTTTAAAATGCACTTCTCGTAGACAGCATATGGTTGGGTCTTGCTTTCTTATCATCTTGACAGTCTCGGGTTTTAATTGGCATATTTAGACTTTTACTTGGAATGTAATAATGACTGATGGTTGCATCTCGGTCTATCATTTTGCTGTTTGTTCTGTCTCTTGAACCGTGAAAAAAGGTCCCTGATGCAGGGATATGGAAATTAAAGACTCCCATGTTGTGGGAAGCACTCTTATCCTCCACAAAAATTAAAGTTGGTAGATCTGAACCAACTTTAAATTGGCACTGAAATGCCCTGCCTGACAGTGGCAAGTAGAGGTCATGTCGGAGTTCAATTCTGGTCAACTGGTGGTGCTGCTCTGCTGAGATGAATTCTGAGGTCCTGCCGTGTTGAGAAGGATTCTGAGGGCCTGACTTATTGGCAAGGATCTGAGGGGCTGCCGTGATGGGAAGGATTTTGATGGGCTGCTTTGTGAGAAGGGTTCTAGGGGCTGCCGTGTTGAGGAGAATCTTAGGAGCTGCTTTTTTGAGGAGGATACTAGGGGCTGCCCTGTTGGGAAGAATCTTAGTGGCTACAGTGTTGAGAAGGATTCTGAGGGCCTGACTTCTTGGGAAGGATCTGAGGGCCTGTTGTATTGGGACGGATTCTGATGGGCTGCCATGAGAGAAGGATTCTAGGGGCTGTCTTCTTTAGAAGAATCTTAGGGCCTGCCGTGTTGGGAAGGATTCTGAGGGCCTCCATGCTGAGAAGAATCTTAGGGGCTGCCGTGATTTGGAGGGTTCTCGGGCTGCTGTGTTGCGAAGGATTCTGAGGTGATGCTGTGTGAGAAAGATTCTAGTGACTCCCACAGTGGGAAGAATCTTAGCAGCTGCAGTGTTGGGAAGGATTCTGAGGGGCTGCCTTGTTGGGAAGGATACTGAGGGGCTGTGGTGTTGGTAGGGATTCTGAGTGGCTATCCTGCTGAGTACAATTCTGAGGGCCTGCTGTGTTGAGAAGATTCTGAGCTGCTGCCATGTTTAGAATGATTGTGAGGGGCTGTCGTGTTGGGAAGGATTCTGAGGGCCTCCGTGTTGAGAGAAACCCTAGGGGCTGCCGTCCTTTGGAGGATTCTCAAGGGCTGCTGTGTCGAGAAGGATTCTGAGGGCCTGCAGTGTTCAGAAAGGTTCTGAGGGGCTTCCGTGTTAGGAAGGAATGTGAGGGGCTGTGTCTTGAGAAGGGTTCAATGGGCTGCCACGTGAGAAGGATTCTTCCTGTTGAGGAGGCTTCTGAGGGCCTCAGTGTTGAGAAGAAATTAGTGGCTGTCGTGTGGAAGAGTATTCTGAGGGGCTGCCATGTTGAAAATGATTTTCAGGGGGTGCCCTGTTGAGAATAATTTCGGGGGCTGCTGTGTTGAGGATCTGAGGCCCTCAGTGTTGAGAGGAATCTTAGGGGCTGCCATGTTGAAACTGATTTTGAGGGCTTCCCTGTTGAGAAGGATTCCGAGGGGGTGTCATGTGAGAAGGCTTTTGAGGGCCTCAGTGTTGAGAAAATATGGGACACTATGTTGGGAAGAATCTTAGCAGCTGCCATGCTGAGGAGGGTTCTGAGGGGCTGCCATGTTTAGAACAATCTTAGGGGCTGTCGTGTCCCTAGGATCCGAGGGGTACTTGCTACGAAGGGTTCTGAGGGGCTGCCATTTGTGGAAGGAGGAGGTGCTGCCGTGTTTAGGGGGATTCTGAGCGGCTGCTGTGTTGAGAAGGTTCTGGGCTCAGTTAGTGGACCACCTGGAGAGAGTATTGATTGGAGGCATGCCACCCCAGCTCTGGGTGGATTGACTGGTGGGAGGAGAGCATCGTTTGCGTGTTTCTGGTTAGATATTTAGGGATATGTCTTTCTGAAGGCAAGTCCAGGTTACTTGGGCTGAAAGCTAATTGGAGGTTAGGGTTTTTGATGGAGTCATTACGTTCATTGGGTACAAGTGACTGTAAACGATGGTGCCGAGGACACCAAGGTATGGCCTGGAAAGTGAGGGCTCAGGAAGGAGCTGGGCAGCCCAGATGGCAGAGGGAGTGCCTTCCTGGCTTCAGGAGTCCAGATGGCTAAGAAGGGCTTGCCCCACGTGGCCTGGGACTCACGGAGATCTCTGTGCACCTTTGGGTACGCGCATTCCCTTGGCCTCTCTGGCCAGGAAAGCCTGCCTTGCCTCCCTCAGGGGAGGTCTCTGTACCCTGAGCTCCACGTGGAGCTGTCCCGTTGCGTCACTCCAGTAGAAGCAAGCCATTGTGGTCAGGCCGTTGATCTCTTTTCATCACGTGCTTTACGGAGCACGTGAGAACCGGAAGGGTTATGTTACAGCAGTGCCAGCCCCCAGAGTGGGCTGGGAACCAGCTCTCGGCACTTCTGTCCGCGTGCTTCCGGCCTCAAGCCATCTCGCTGTCTCCCCTTGGGTCTCCCCTCTCCCCCATCTGTCTAGCCTCTTCTACCTGATAACTCCAAATTCTCCGTCTTACCGTGGTGGAATCAAAACGGGTCCAGACTCTTAGGTGTTCCTTCTCTTGAGAGGTTGATGGGGTCTGTGTCCCCTCCCCCGAATCAGAGCGGGCTCCGTGACGGCTCGGCCTGGCGGAGGAGGGCAGATGGGACACTGCCAGTTCCAGGCCTGGCCTTTAAGAGGATGGCACCTTCCGCCTTGGGCTCGGGACCCCCCAGCTGTCATGGACCAGCCTGCTGGACGGTCTGCAGGGGGTGCCCCTGCGGAGCTCAGGCATCCCCACCAGGCACCCTGTGTGAGCGCAGCCATCGAGGACCCTCCAGCCCCGCCCCCTGCCAAATACCCCCGAGGGCCCCCAGCCTATGTGGTGCGGAGCAGAAGCGGCCAGCTCAGCCCCGCCCTAATTCTCCTCTCTCTAATAACGGGGTTGTCCTGGGCTGCTGTTTGGGGGAAATGTATTCCAGGCCCCGACTTCACCGCACACACCTTTTGAGCCCTTGAGTAAACAAGAAGGATCTTTTACAAACAGGAGGGCCTGGGTGCCTCAAGGGCAGTTGTGTCGTTTGCTGCCGATTCCAGCTCTTAGAGCAGCGCCTGCCGGGCGGAAGGAACTCGGTGAAGGTCTGTTGAATGAATGCCTACAGCGTGTTTGTTCCCTCCGTCCTGGTGGCACGTGACAAGGTCCCCATCATGCTTGTCATCCCATCCCTTTAAACTCACGGGGATGACTCAGTGCCCACGGCGAACCCACCCGAGGACCCAGAGCTGGGAACCCTGTGACCGCGGCTCTTCAGCTGGGGGAGGCCACGCGGGGCTCGCTGCATCTCCTTCCCTCCCTCCCCCTAGTGTGTGACCTGCTGTTGCCCAGCGCCCCGCCAGCCCCGCAGCCCTGGTACACCAACCAGCGCTTCACCCTGACGCTGCTCTCCATGCTGGCCATCCTGCCCCTGTCCGCCCCACGTGAGATCGGCTTCCAGAAATACACAAGGTACAGGCTGCAGCCCCTTCCTGGCAGGACGATGGCTGGGGCTGGGTCCCCACCTCGGCGGGCACTTGGTGGGTGATTTCTGTCCGCCTGGGACAGGGGAGCTGCTAGCACGGGTCTTCCCATTTGCAGAAGGGGGAAAAAATGTTTAATTACACAAGTCATACATGTGCCTGATAGAAAATACAGATAAACAAAAAAGAAATTTACCCGTAATGACAGGACCTGCAGCTGACATTTTGTTACCTAATGATTGTAGACTTTTTCTGCACATATGCTGGCACGGACACACACACACACACACACACACACACACACACACTTTTTCCCATTTTACCGTCTGAGGCTCTCCATGTACTTTTGCAAAAATTAAGCCTGGCAAAAGTCTTCACACAAGTGTGCAACCCGCCTTCCCCTGTCGTGTAACGAAATGGAGCAGAGAAAGAGTGGGCAGGACCCCCTTGCCCCCCGGGCACCCCCAGCCCTCGCCAACCGAGCCAGGGTCCTCCTTCCCCCTATGCTGTGGCCCAGCGGGCAGTGTCCCGACTTAGATGCTGAATCCCAGCGGCTGTTGGTGGAGAGACGGGGGCGCCCGTAGCGATCACAGGCTCGCAGGTCTGACCTCGCTGGGCCTGAGCGCAGCCCTGCCCTGCCTGCCTGCCTGGAATGCTCTTCCCGCTGTCCCCATTGTGCAGATAAGGAAATGGAGTCCAGACACTGGCCTGACACCTTGCCTGTGTGGGCAGAGCTGGCATTGAGACCCCACTCCGTGTGGCTCCCCAGGCCCTACCTCACCATAGAGGCCCCCTAACACTGCGCTCCGTCCATGTGTTAGCATCTTAGGCACCCTGGCCGCCTGCTACCTAGCCCTGGTCATCGTGGCACAGTACTACCTCGGGCCCCAAGACCTCGCTCGTGAGCCCCGCCTGGCGTCGAGGTGAGTCTTGGGCGATGGCTTCCCGGGGCTGCTGTGAGGGCCGAGGGACGCTTCTCCCCCCAACCCTGCCTATGGTTTGCACAGAGCCCTGGCTCGTCCCGTGAAATCCTTCAAGTCTCTGATGCCGTAGAACTCAGCAAAACCTCCTTTCCTGGGACTTCCCTGGCGGTCCAGTGGTTAGGACTCTGTGCTTCCACTGCAGGGAGCGTGGGTTCAAGCCCTGGTCGGGGAACTAAGATCCCACGTGCCACACGGTGCAGCCAAAAAAAAGCTCCTTTCCTTCTTCAGAACGACAGTGCTATCACTAGTGGGGACGGGGGACAGGCTAAGGGACACGGAAGCACTGGACACCCCACCAGCCTGGGGCTCCTAGGCTGTTGCAGACGCGTTCCCCACAGCTTAGGGGCCGCAGAACCAGCCAGCAAGATGCAGGTGCAGGGGCAGAGGCCAGTGAGGCCCGACGAGCCTGAGCGAGGCCAAGAGTGGGAGTGGGCCTGGGGGGCGGGTATCCTGTAGGGATGCAGAGCTGCGGTGAGGACTTCAGTTTTGCACGGAAGCCACTGCAGGGTTTTGATCACAGCAGGGGCTTGAAATCAAATCGGCTGGTGGCAGGCCAGCTCCATGAGCCTGTGACCTGTGACATCCCCCAGGGTCCTGGGCTGAGAAAGGCCCTGCGCTTGGTTTAACGCCCTGCTGTCGCCATCCTGAAACGCTTAACCGCTGTTGAACAGGGGCCGGCACTTTCATTTTGCACTGGGTCCCGCAAATCGTGTGCACCCTCCTGGAGGGTAGGTTGGAAGTGGAGTGAGAGAGAGAGAAGAGAGTCCGGGTGACTCTGAGCTTTGGCGATGCCGTTTCATGGGCTGGATGGGGCGGGGAGGGGTCGGGTGGGGATGTGTAAGGTTGGAGACGGCTGTGAGACACTAAATAAAGACGTCAGGGAGCTGGTCAGACTGTGCGCCTGGAGTCCAGAGAGGCCTGGGCTGGAGAGAGGAACATCAACCCATAGATGGCGTGGAAGTAAGGCCAGGAGCCCAGGTGAGAACTGAGCTGGTGGCCCTCCGCCAGGCCCTGGGGGATCAGCGAGAGGGATGGCAAGTTAGCAGCACGTGTTAGCTTCTTGGGGCTGCTCGTAGTAACACATGAGCACAAACCGGGTGGCTGAAAGCAGCAGCAACTTCTCCCCTGGTTCTGGAAGCTAGAAGTCCAAAATCAAGGTGTGGGCAAGGCTGCGCTCCCTCTGGAGGCTCCGGGGGAGGGTCCTTCCTGCCCCTCCCAGCGTCGGTGTTGCCGGCACTCTTTGGCCTTCCTTGGTCTGCACATGCTTCGCTCCAGACTCGGCCCCCATGGTCACACGGCCTCTGCCCTGTGTGTTTCCTCTTCCTATAAGGACACCAGTTGTTGGGTTAACTCCCAGCCTACTTCAGTGTGACCTCATCTTCATTTAGCCAATTACATCTACAAAGACCCTTTTTCCAAATAAGATTTCATTCTGAGGTTCCCAGTGGCTATAAATCTAGGGGGACACTGTACAACCCAGGACAGAGGATAATAGAATCTGGGTCTCAGAAGTCAGCAGAATTTCAAGAAGGTTGGGGTGATCGCCACCAGCTGCCGCTTCTGGGTCACATGGGGCTGAGCCCTGGCGTCTGATTTGGCCACGGAGGCCGCTCGATGTGGCTGAGTTTCATCAGGGCAGGAGGCGGGGTTGAAGGCCCAGGTGGATTGGGTTCAGGAGAAGGGGGAAGGGAAAAGCCGGGAAAGAGCTCTTCTGAAGAGGGGAGAAGCGGAAAGTGCTGGGGCACAGAGGCCACGGCCCGTGTGGCCCACGGCACACCGACGGCATGATCCAGCAGTGGAGGAAACCCGATCAGAAGAGGGCCAGATCCACTGCTCATCTGTGGCCTTGAGTCTGCGGAGGGGAGGGTCCTGCTCTGTGGAAATGGAGCCTCCAAGGCTGGAGCTTGGGCAGTCTCACCCACGGGAACAGGAGAGGACGGCACATGAGGCCCAGAGGACGCAGGCAGGCAGATGGAGCCGTGGGAGCGTGGGCGCTAAGAAGCTGGCCATCGGCTGACAGTGCTGTTGAGGAAAGTCCAGGAAGGCAGGGCTTGGCGGGGAGGCTTCGTGATCTGCACCCAGAGTTAAGAGGCGGCCGGAGCGCAGCACAGAAGGGGAGATATCACCGTGTGACTTTCCCCGTGGCTGCTGTGACACGTTCCTGCCAAACTTGGTGACTTAAACTACACAAATTTATTCTCTTACAGTTCTGATATCAGAAGTCCAGAATAGGTCTCACTGGGCTAAAATCAAGCTGTCAGCAGGGCTGTGTTCCTTTTGGAAGCTCTAGATTGGAATCCATTTCCAACTCCTAGAAGTGCCCACATTCCTTGGCTCGGGGCCCCTTCCTCCATCTTCAAAGCCAGCAAAGTTCCATCTCTCTGACCCTGCTTCTCTGGTCACAGCTCCCTTTGACCATAGCTGGGGAAGGTTCTCTGACTGCAAGGATCCTTGGGCTACATTGGGCCGAGATCCTCCAGGGTCATCTTGTGTCGTGTAAGGTTCCCAGGGTTAGGACATGGATCTCTTTGGGGCCCACTCTTCTACCACAAGCAGGAAACCCTGATTCTATAGCGGGTGCTGTATATGCTCCCTCCACTATGTGTCCCTAAAGGTGCCGGAAGCTGGTACGTAGAGCTGATTATTAAAGGAAGCTGGAGGGCCACCATGTGGGGACCACTGAGAGGGCTTGACCTGAAGATTCTGCCCCATGCACACCTCAGTTCTCTTGGACAGAGGTCAAACCATCCTTGCCCTGTGGGGTCTGTTTGATGGATGCTCCCTGTGCCCCCAACCACCCCAGCCCCTAAGCTCACTGGGCACAGGCAGCCTCCAAGGGAGGCTGGGAGTTCCTCCCAGCCACGCCCTGCCCAAGTTGTGCCTGCAGGGAGAATGTCAAGTTACCATATGTCAGCACAGATGTACTTAGAAAGTGCAGCATTTAACATGCAGCCTTTTCCAACGCCCCAAACCCGGCAGTGGACATGGTTTTTAAAACCTGTCTTACAGTCACGCTTAGTTATATCTTGCTGGTGGTGTTGAAAACTCATTTTCAAGTTGAAGGTTGTTTTGAGTTTAACTTTTTGTAACAAACACCCGTTTTCATCTCTTTACAGTCCTTTCTCCTGGGCCTCCGTATTTAGTGTCTTTCCCACCATCTGCTTCGGATTTCAGGTAACCTTGGCGTCCGTGTTGCAGAGGGTGGCATTTGCAGGCTCTGGGGACCGCCTGCTCCCTCAGGAGAGCGTGGCCTCCCTGTCGGGAGAAGCTCAAGGACTTGTTCCAGGGTGAGATGGGCTGTCTTTGGGAGACGGTGCATGTGGCCGGCATCTGGGCTCGGAGCTGGGAACCGGCCCCGCCAACAGCCAGCAGCAGCACCTTTGTTTGTTGGGTCTGGGGTCGAGTGTGTGGGCCCGGGACCTGTCCCCTCCTTTGCGAAGTCCTCACGGCCGAGTCGCCACGCCTGGGGACCTGGAGCGGCCTGCTTACGTAGAACGCCTTCGTGCAGGTGGCTTCTGCCGCGGGGGCCTGGAGGCTTGCCGGCTAGGAGGGCGGGAAGGTGCGTGGGGAGCTGGCGGTACTGCGCAGAATATATAGACTTTGATAGAATGGTATGGAGTGAGGAATTCCGTGCGTGGAATCCAGTGGAGGGGCTTCCGCCGCAGCGCTGGGTGGGGCAGATTCAGATATGCCCTTTCCCAGGCGCAGATGTCTGGGAGGAGTCTTGAGCAATGTGTGGGAGGTGGCCAGCTAGAAGGGGAGGGCGCTTCAGCCGGAGAGCCCCGGAGGGGGCGGGGGTCCCAGGCTGGAGAGCTGCAAGGGGCTGGGCGGGGCTGGCGTTGGGCTTCGCTCCCCGCCTTCTGGGCTTTCCTGGGGTCTCGCAGTCTCCTGGCAGGTGGCAGCTGACTCCCTTGCTCCATTGTTTATTTTAGGAAAGATTTGCCTCTCTCCTAAAAACAACCACCTCCCCACCACGACAACAACAAAACCGCCCCCAGTGAAATCCAGTTCTCGAGGGAAAGTGGCTCGGGGTTGACAGTGTCTCAGCTTCGTAGCCTGAGCGGCTTCTTGCTGTGCTCACCAACCAGCTCCACTTTGTGTTTGTCAGCTTATGTTTTCTTTGAGAACCACTTTTTGGGGAAAAGAAAAGTCCTGAAACATTTCCGTTGCTCTTTTTTATAAATGAGTCGCTGTAGCGTTTCTGGAGCTTAGCAAGCCGCTTACAGAATTTCTCACGTTTCTTCCTGCACACCCAATATTTTGAAAGATGGAAGGCGACGATTTTGCTGTCAACCGTTTGGATGTCGTTTAGCCAGTCCTCTCTCGGGTCCCCGAGCACCATATGGTGTAGCAGGCTCGCGCTGGGCAGGGGTGCGGGGTGCTTTCCAGATGCTTGTGAGGAGGTGCCCCCCTCACCTTTGCCTCGGCTCCCTCATCCCATTCTCCTAGCAACCGAGGCCTGGGCTGCCGTTTCCAGGGACACGGGATGCGGAGATGGGGGAGCTGGGAAAGGATGTGGATTGCAGGGCGGGGGTGGGGCAGAGGACTAGTTGCCAAGGCCGGGGATAGGGTTGCCAGGATCCAGCTTGGGGAGACAGGGATCTGGGGGTGGGGGAACTAGGTGCAGGTGAAGGTGTCGGGGAGCCCAGTGAGGAGTGGCGCTGGGCTGGAGGGGCTGCTGTGCGGGGGAAGGCGTGGGCGTCATCGGGAGGTCGGGTTCAAACACACCGCTCCCCACAGACTTAGCAGCGGGGCACCCCGTCCAGCCTAAGCAGAGTCGGAAGGAGGGGCCTAGGGGAGCACGGGTTGTGGGTGCAGGCTCTGCTCCCAGACACCCTGGCCACACGCGGTACTTCTCCCTTGTTTGTGTTTTTTTAATTGAAGTATGATTGATTTACAACACCGTGTTAGTTTCAGGTGTACAGCACAGCAATTCAGGTATATGTAGCTGAATATATACGCATATTCGTTTTCAGATTTTTTTTTCTTTAGAGGTTATTACAAAATATTGAGTATAGTTCCCTGTGTTATACAGGAGGTCCTTGTTGGTTATCTGTTTTATCCATCGTAGTGTGTATATGTTAATTCCAAACTCCTAATTTATCCCTGCCCCCATCCCCCTTTCCCCTTTGGTGACCATAAGTTAGTTTTCTATGTTTGTGAGTCTTTTTCTGTTTTGGAAATAAGTTCATTTGTATCTTTTTTTTTTTTTAGATGCCACGTATAAATGATGTCATGATATTTGTCTTTCTTTGGCTTACTTCATTTAGTATGATAATCTCTAGGTCCATCCATGTTGCTGCAAATGGCATTATTTCATTCCTTTTTATGGCTGAGTAATATTCCATTGTATATATGTACCACATCTTCTTTATCCGTTCATCTGTCAGTGGACATTTAGGTTGCTTCCATGTCTTGGCTATTGTAAATAGTGCTGTAATGAATATTGGGGTGCGTGTATCTTTTCGAATTATGGTTTTCTCCAGATATATGCCCAGGAGTGGGATTGTAGGATCATATGGTAGTTCTGTTCTTAGTTTTTAAAGGAACCTCCATACTGTTCTCCATAGTGCCTGTACCAATTTACATTCCCACCAGCAGTATAGGAGGGTTCCCTTTTCTCCACACCCTCTCCAGCATTTGTTATTTGTAGACTTTTTGATGATGGCCATTCTAACTGGTGTGAGGTGGTACCTCATTGTAGTTTTGATTTGCATTTCTCTAATAATTAGCGTTGTTGAGCATCTTTTCATGTGCCTGTTGGCCCTCTGTGTGTCTTCTTTCCCCTTGGTGTTTTTAAACGGCTTTGAGATACAACTTACGTGGCGTACAACTCACCCCTCTAACGTGTACAGTTCAGTGGTTTTTAATATGTTCAGAGTTGTGCAACCATCGCCACCATCAATTTTACAACATTTTCATCACCTTCAAAAGAAACTTGTACTTATTACCAGTCACTCCCCATTCCCCTCTTGTTTCCCTCCTAGCCCTGGCAACCACAGATTTTTCTGTCTCTCTGGATGTGCCTGTGCTGGGCGCTTCATGTAAGTGGAATCATACAGTATATGGTTCTTTGTAGCTGGCTTCTTTCACTCGACGTGGTGTTTTGTTTTGTTTTTAATTTATATTTCTGCCCGCGTTGGGTCTTTGTTGCTGCACGCGGGCTTTCTCTAGTTGCGGCGAGCGGGGGCTTCTCTTCGTTGTGGTGCACGGGCTTCTCATTGTGGTGGCTTTTCTTGTTGCGGAGCACGGGCTCTAGGCGCGCGGGCTTCAGTAGTTGTGGCGTGCAGCCTCAGTAGTTGTGGCTTGCGGGCTCTAGAGCGCAGGCTCAGTAGTTGCGCACGGTCTTAGTTGCTCCGCGGCATGTGGGATCTTCCCGGACCAGGGCTCAAACCCATGTCCCCTGCATTGGCAGGCATATTCTTAACCAGTGCGCCACCAGGGAAGTCCCACTCACCGTGGTGTTTCTGAGGATCGTCCGTGTGGTACACGTGTCAGGACCGCGTCCCTTTTCACAGCTGAATGATATTGCGCTGTTTGGAGAGTCCATAGTTTGTTTTCCCTTTCTTCAGCTGGTGGCCGTTTGGACCGTTTCCACTGCTTACCCACTACATGCTCCTCTGCCCCGCATCCCATCACGTAGTGAATAGTGAGCTTGCTATTGGCCAGTCAGCGTCCTGGATGCTGTCCCAGCAGGGCAGCCCTGCCCTCAGAAGCTTTATTTCCCGGCATAAGACCAAGAGAAACACAATCCAGGAGGCTTAGGAGAAACAGGAAGAAGGGCAGGGCCCCATCCTGCAACCACCAAGCATCCTTTCCCCCATGTCTGGGCTCTGGAGTATAGGAGGTGGGAACGTTGATCCTGAGTTCCACTGCTTGTTGGTTGAGGGCGTGTGTGTGTGTGTGTGTGTGTGTGTGTGCGCGCGCGCGCGCACGTGCTTGCCCCAGGCTGGACGCCGCCTCTGTGGCTGGAATCGGGAGGCCTGAGGCTGGTGTGCCCCAGCCCCTCACAGTGGGCACTCCATGAGGGTGGGGACTGTGTGAGGATGGTTGATGGGTACCCCACACTCGCAACAAGGGGCGCTGATATAAGGACCTGAGTGTGGAGAGCTGGGGTTGGGTGCAGGGAGGCCTCGTGGCTGTAAGTGGGGCAAAGGGATGGATGATTGAGTAACCGCCGGAGTGCCCTTCACCCGTGGGCCAGGCTCTGTGCTGGGAATGAGGGAGGCAGGTGTGTCTGACACCACATACCTGACAGAGGCTGAACCAGCAAACCCAGATGTGCTCACATGGGGGGCGTGAGAGCAGAACTCGGCCAGCTGGGGAGGAGGGCTTTCCTAAAGGATGAGTAGAAGCTGGCTGGATCAGGAGACATCGCAGGCAGAGCACACAGCACGGGCAAAGGCCCTGAGGCAGCGAAGAGGGACCATGGTGGGCTGAGCTCGGTGGGCGAGGGGAGCAGGGCTCTTGAGCCTGGGGAGTGGGCAGGCATGGACGGTCATCCTGTTGGCTTTGATCAGAAGTGAGTGAATGGATGTGGTGGTGGGAACCCTGCCCTGGGAGCCTGGGAAAATCCCAGAACCCATAGGGCACATCCAGATACAGCAGCACCTCTCACCCCTGGCTGCTCATCAGGGTCTCCTGGGCTGCTGATAAAACACCGCTGCCCAGGACCTGCCCCAGATAAATAAAGTCCACATCACAGGTGGGCTCCTGGCATTGGCTACATGTATTTTATATGTTTAAAAATTTGACCATGTGGGCTCCCCTAGTGGCGCAGTGGTTGAGAGTCCGCCTGCCGATGCAGGGGACACGGGTTCGTGCCCCGGTCTGGGAGGATCCCACATGCCGCGGAGCGGCTGGGCCCGTGAGCCATGGCCGCTGAGCCTGCGCGTCCGGAGCCTGTGCTCTGCAACGGGAGAGGCCACAGCAGTGAGAGGCCCGCGTACCGAAAAAAAAAAAAAAAACAAATTGAGCCTGTGATACAGTGTAGGAAGTATATAAATCATAAATATGTGTACTCCCATGAAACCACCACCCCGATGGGGATATAGAACATCGTCAGCACCCCTGGAATGTTCCCTCAATAGCACCACCCCACCCCACTCTTCTGCCCTCTGTCACCACAAACGGTAACTCTCAACTGAGGGTGATTTTGCCCCCTAGGGGACATTTGGCAATGCCTGCAGACATTTTTGATTGTCACGCCTGTGGGGGAGGCTCCTGGCATCTAGTGGGTCAGGGCCAGGGGACGTGATCCGTATCCCACCATACGCAGGACAGTCCCCAAGCATCAGCAATGATGCGGTTGAGACCCCGTCCTGGCTTGTTTGGTTGTAACCTGAACTTCACGTACACGGAAATGTTCTTCTTTGGCATCTTTTGCTCCACGTTACAGCTGCAGGGCTCTCTGTGTTGAGGTGTGCAGTTGTGTTCACCCCTTTTCAGTGCCGTGTAGTATTCTACACATGAATCTCTGATGACTTCTACCTTCTGCTCTTGGTGGGCGTTTGGGTTGTTACCCATGTTTTGGGACACTGATACTTTTTTTTTTTTTGTATTTTTAAAAATATTTTATTTTTTTATTTTTGGCTGTGTCGGGTCTTAGTTGCGACGCTCGGGACTTTTGTTGTGGCGCACGGGCTTAGTTGCCCTGCAGCATGTGGGATCTTAGTTCCCTGACCAGGGATTGAACCCATGTCCCCTGCATTGGAAGGGGGATTCTTTACCACTGGACCACCAGGGAAGTCCCAAGACACTGAGACTTTTTAGATGGCGCCAGGTGATTCTAGCACCCAGCTGGCTCCACTCCCGTTGACCCTGCTGCTCCCTTGCAGTGTCACGAAGCTGCCGTGTCCATCTACTGCAGTATGCGCCACCAGAGCCTCGGGCACTGGGCCCTCGTCTCCGTGCTGTCCTTGCTGGCCTGCTGCCTTGTCTACTCGCTGACAGGTAAGGCCCGTGCGGGGTGCCCGGGACCTGGGTGCGGAGCAGTGGGAGAAACCGGGATAATCACAAGTGTGTATAGAGACCCTACCGCGTCCTGGGTGCAGTGCTAAGTGGTTTGACTGCCTGTGCTGCTTTTGTCCCTAACACCCCCAGGAGAGTCCACAATTCATAGCGGAGGCCACTGAGGCTCAGAGGGTTGCCATGGCTTGTCCAGGGTCTCCCAATTAGACGTGGCAAAGCTGAGATGCAAACCGTGGCCCGTCTGTCTCCTAAGCCCCTGCTCTTCACGCCCCACGCCCCTGCGTGCCTGTTTCGTGGGATGGCGTCAGTGATGGCTGTCGGAGCGTTAGATCCAGGCAGTGGTTTACAGAACACTCTCTTGGATGCAGTGGGTTTCACCATCCACACACTGCCACAGGAGGGTCTTCAGAGGTGACAGAAGTGTGGCTCAGAGAGGGGCTGTGCCACACCCGAGGTCCCACAGCACATCCGGTGCACAGCCCAGGGCCCGGGCTCAGGCTGACTACTAGCAGCCCTTTCTTTCGTCAGCCTATCAGAGTCTCTGATTCAGGGAGCTCTTGGGCTCCCACAGATGTGTCAGGGGCCTTGGACACTTGCTGGGTGACTTTTGTCTAGCAGGGGAGGTCTCTCTCATTCTGTGGCCCCTGAGTTGGACCCGGTGATTGAGAGTCTCCTTCAGATGGTCCAGGGCCAGCAGGATCCTGGGACTGGAGAAAAACCAAAGCAAACCACAGCTCTTGGTCAGCGATGGATGTCTCAGGACCGGGCAGGTGACGCGGAGGCCGAGAGGCAGTGCTGGGTTGTGGGGTAGGGACCTGACTTCTGCTGTAATGAGCTGTGTTATTCCAGACAGTTGTTGACACCTTGGGTCTTGATTTTCCCCATCAGGAAAATGGGCGCACTGACAGCTTCTTTCTCTAGGTGCTCTAAGGGTGGGGTGGACAGGGCACGGAAAGCATTGTTCAGACTGCTTCCAGTCAGTCCACGCCCACGAGGGGGTGCCTTGTACGGGTGCCGTGAGCTGTTTGGAAGAAGGACAAGGGACAGTTTTGCCCAGCAGGAGTTTGAGTCGGAAGGACCAGGATCCTGTAGACTGAGGACAGGAAAGCCTTGGGAGATTCTAGAACTTTCTGTCAGCTCCTAGGGGAAACCTTAGCAGCAGTAGATCTGGGTGCTGTCTGCGTGTCGGAGTTGAGGTGGGGGGACAGCATTTTTCTAATCAGCTCTCTTGTGTTACCCCCTTTACCCTTCACAGGCGTGTACGGCTTCCTGAGTTTTGGGACAGACGTTTCTGCTGACATCCTGATGTCCTACCCAGGCAACGATGGGGTCATTATCGTTGCCCGGGTCCTCTTCACTGTGTCCATCGTGACTGCCTACCCCGTCGTGCTCTTCCTGGGGAGGTGAGGCCAGCTCGTGGGACATGGTTCAGTGCAGAGCACAGCACCTGTCGAAAATTAGCACGTGCCAGGCGCCACGCCAGCCCATGTGGCGTGGGGACTGTCTTCGCCTCTGTTTCCTAGAGGAGGAGACGGGCAGGGGAGTCAGGTGGTTTGGCCAGCGTCGCCCAGCTGGTGTCAGGACTGGAGCCTGGCCCCCGGAGCTTGGCGGCCCAATGTGGCCCCGCCCTGTCGGCTACCCATGTGCGGCGGGGGTTCCCAGGGCGTGAGCCCTGCCGGTGTGCAGGGTGGTGGTGGGGGGCACTCTGGGGCACCCAGTGGTGGGCGAGAGCAGGGCTACAGCCCCCGGGAGCCCGTGGGAGCCCATAGTGCGTGGCCTCCAGGTCAGTGATGCAGGATTTCTGGAGGAGGGGCTGCTGCTGGGCGTGTGGGCCCCAGCCCCTGGCCGAGCCCTCGGGGCCATGGGTCCGGATGTCGCTGACCGTCCTGTGGGTCACCGTGACGCTCGCCATGGCCCTGTTCCTGCCCGACCTCAGCGAGATCATCGGCATCATCGGTGGCGTCAGCTCCTTCTTCATCTTCATCTTCCCAGGTGAGGGCCGTGTGGGGGGTGGGAGCCCGCGGAGGAGGGATGGCTCCAGCCCTGTTTACTGGGCCAGGCGCGGGGGGCCGGGGCTTCGCACACCTTCCCTCATTTAACATCTCAGTGGGCGTGCTGTTATCAACCCAGCCTACAGATGGGAAGACGGAGGCCCTGAGGCCTCCTGGGTGGAATAGCTAGCATGTAGCGGGGCTGAGTCAGCCTCACAGCCTTGTCTCCCCTCCCGCTGCTGCCACTCGCTGTAGGATTTCATTTAATATTCCAGACACTCCTATGGTCGAAAGGTGCCCCACAAACATCTTCCTCCTTGTCCCCCCGTCTGGGAGGCAAACGCAGTTTCCATGATGGATGGGTTCCTAGGGAACCTTCCCACTGTTAGTGAGTGATGAGGTGAAGTTCCAGCCAAATTGGCCTGAGGGTTATCCCGGCCTGGCAGACCCAGGGTGGCCAAGGCTAGGGGCTCCCGGAGAAGGGGAAGCACTACAGGGGCAGAAACCCCAGATCCTGCGGCCCCTGGCCCTGGGAAGCGCTCTCAGACATGAGTGATGGGGTCCGAGTGCCTCACCACCTCCCTTGGCTTCCTGCCCCCGCCGGCCAACCACCGTCTAGGGCGGATGGACCAGTGATGCTGTGTCTTGAACACACAGTATGGGTTGGGAGTCCATGTCCTGGGTGGGGCCTTGTAGCTCTAGCTGTTTCCTGTGCTGGAAAGGACGGGCCAGGGTAGGCTTGGCAGCGGGGAGATCCACAGGATCTTTAGGCAGAGCTGTCTGGCTTCAAATCTCAGTAGCACGATTAAAAAAGAAAAAAAAAATGACAGAAAGAAAAAAATAACAAAGGCAGCTGGTGGTTGTCAAAGGCGTCCCAGGGGTGAGGCCCCGAGTCTGGCCCTGACCCACTGCATCTCATCAGAGACGTGAGTGTGTGCTGTTGTTGTCGCTGGAGAGGCCAAGGTGTTAGGGGGTGTCGAGCGGGGACCCCACAGTGGTGCCATTAGCCACCATTCGGTGCCCACCCTCCAGGGGCAGGGTGAGCCTGCGGGGCCACTTTGGGCAAAGGCCCTGGCAGCCTCTCGGGTCCCTGGGGACTGCTGGGTGTTGGTTGAGCCCTTGCGAGCTCGGGGCTGCTTTGGGTTCAATAACGAAGAGCTGGTGTGACCCCGTGTCTCCTCTGCAGGTCTGTGCCTCATTTGTGCCATCAGTGTGGAGCCCGTCAGACCCCGAGTTAAGTAAGTGTGTGCATGTGAGGGTGTCGACTCTAGCGTGTGCGGGGCTCAGCGGGAGGGGCGTGTGAAGGCTGCTCGCCCGCCGGGTCCTGCGTGTGAGGGTGCTGCAGGCCAGGCCGGGAGGGGGGCCTTGTCCACACAGCGGGGGGGCGGCTGAGCCGGGGCTCCATCCCAGGCCAGCACACTGCGCCCTGTTCAGTCCATGCGCGGCCGTCCTTGCACTCCGAGCGCTGTGGCCTCTGCTTGGAGCTTTGTGCGATTTGGGGTCTTCCGGCGTCTTGAGGCCCAAGTCGTGCGTGCTTCCCCATCCTGAACTCAGACCCCGGGCAGGGTGGGTACAGGCTGGTCCTGTTGCCCCACAGATCCCTGAGTTCCGGAGGCCGTGGGCTCCCCCATGCACCAGGGCAACACGTTCTGTTAACAGGACAGCAGGTCCTGGTTGGATGATGCCTCAGTGCTGGGCCCCACGCTCAGCCCCTTTACTCCTTCCTCACCCTGCGATGCTGGGATATTTCCATCCCAAAGACGAGGAGGCAGAAACCAACCCACAGGCAGGTGGCGAGTAGGGCAGAGCTGGGGCTCAACTCTGGCCAACTGGACGCGGGGCCCAACGCTTACCCCCTCCCTGCTCCACGTTGCTGGTTAGACAAGACAGTTTGGACCATCCCTTTTTTCAGCGGAGTACCCTCCGCTGGGTCGGCCTGTGGTGTGACTTGGACCATGTACTCTGCCACCGAGGTGCCCAGTTGGACCCCACTGAGAAAGAGAGTGTGTGCACGGGTGATGGGCCAGAGCTCAGCCGGTGCCAGGGACCCGGGAGTCTGTGCAGATCTTGGTCCCATTTCACAGATGTGAAAACTGAGGCCAAGACGGCTAGAGAGGACACTAGTAGCTTTCTAGGGCTGCTTGTGGCTTAAATCAACAGAAATGTATTTTCTCCCAGTTCTGGAGGCCAGAAGTCCAAAATCATGGTGTCAGCAGGGCCCCACGCCCTCTGCAAGCTCTTGGGGGGATTCCATTCTGTGCTATTTCCTGCTTCTGGTGGCTCCAGGTGGTCCTTGGCTTGTGGCCGCATCACTCCCATCCCTGCCTCTGTCCTCACACAGCCTCTCCCTTGTGTCTGTGTCTCAAGTCTCCCTCTGCTTCTCTCCTCTGAGGATACCTGTCATTGGGCTTAGGGCCCACCCCCAGTCCTGGTGATCTCATCTCCAGATCGTTAACTTCATCACATCCGCAAAGATCCTATTTCCAAATGAGGTCGTGTTCACAGGTTCCAGGTGGATGTGAATTTGGGGGGCCACCATTCAGCCCAGTACAGATTTTCTTATGTCACAGAAGCCATGAACTTGGGGCCCACTTGCAGCCTCTCTTTCCCCTTCGTCCAGCCACATGGAGCCCGAGCTTGGTCTTCCCACAGCGGCAGGCCTGGCTGGGCTCCCTTCTGGGTTGAGAAGCATTTTTCTGGGCATCTCTAAAGCTGACTTGGGCTTAGCACCAGCCCCGGTTGCCTGGGGGCCTCCTACATGGTTTTTTCCCTGTAGCGCCCTTTCAAGTCTTGCTGCTTCTGTGTGGTGCCTCAGTCCAAGTTCACAGCAGCTGTTACTGATGGGCTTTAAAGATATTTTTAATCCTAGCGCTGCTTTAGGGCTTCCTGATCCATCAAAGCTGCCCCGAGGAGCCAGCAGCCCCGTCACATTTACCTCTCTCCCCGCTTTCAGGCAGGCGGGTGTCTACGGCACCGAGCTGCCGCTCTGCCACACTGTGTAACTGGAGATGGTCTTTCCATGACAACGGATCCTTGTGGCCTTTGTTAATGGGCCAGAAGTATCCCTATCATTTCGTGGGAATCTTATTATCGTGGCTTTTGCCTCACTGTCTGCACCGTCTCTCCTGGTTACGTTATGAAGCCTGTGGATGTGGTCTCGTGACCACCAGTTCCAGCTACCTCTGTCCCCTCCTCCGTGGCCCCCCAGCCGCTGTTCCCATCTGTGTGACCTAGGGCTTTCTTCTCCTTCCTCACTTTCGGGGGCATCAACCCCCTAAAGAAAAGAAGCGGAAGAGAAGGGAGTTTGAAACTAGTGTCTCCCTCCCCCTATTTCTTTGTCTTTGATAAAATATTGGGAAGGAACGAGGTTATGAAACAACAGATTGGGTGAGAGTTGTATTTTTTTTTCAATTGCATGGGTACTTTATTTCCTGTTGTCTCAGAAACCCATCCCTACAGGTAAAGGAGGGTAACCTGAATTTTTTCCAAATTGGTGACTCTACTAGGCTTCAGATCATAAGTTTTCTACATGTGTTTGGCTCGTCTGTGCAGATCTCCAGAAGAAGAGCGCGTGTTGACGTGAGTTTGTTGACTTGGCAGGTGCTTCCTGGAGGCCTGGGGGGTGGTCTCCGTGCTCGTCGGCACCTTCATCTTCGGGCAGAGCACGGTGGCGGCTGTCATGGAGCTGCTCTGAGGGGCGGCCCGCGGCCGAGCGGGATGGGGTCTCCACGGCTGCCCTGGTCCGGCTGCCTGCATCCAGCCGTGAGACCGATGTTATTTCATCATAAAGATGCTGGAGAAACGGATACGTTCTGCCTTCCCAGGCTGCTCATTTGGGCTTCTTCTGGTTCCCAGGGTTTCTGGTGCAGTGGTGAGGAGTTTCTTAGTGTCCTGGGCCTGCCCTGCAAGTGACCACAGACTGGGGGCTTCTGGCAACAGCAGTGCACTCTCTCACAGTCTGGAGGCTAGAAGTCTGAGATCAAGGTGTGGGCGGGGCTGGCACCCTCCCTCTGCAGGCTCTAGGGGGACGGTCCCTCCTGCCTCTTCCCGCTTCTGCTGGTTGCTGGCCATCCTTGGTTCTCCTTGGCTTGTGGCTGCATGCGTCCAATTTCTGCCGCCTCCCTCACGTGGGCGTCTTCCCTATGTATCTGTCTCAATTTCCCTCTTACAGGGCTCACCCTAATTCAGTATGGCTTCATCTTAATTACTTAATTGGGATCTGCAAATATCCTATTTCCAAATAAGGTCACATTCACGGTTTCCAGAGGTTAGGGCTTAAACTGTGTCCCCCAGAAAAATAAGTTAAACCCATAACTGGGAGGCAGGTGCTGAGGCCCAGAGAGCCCTGCTTTGGGGTGCTGAGATCAAAGACACGAGGCAAGGGCATTGTTCGGTGGGTGAGAGCCCAGAGGGCATTTGGGGCGGCATCCGTTGGGGATGGCAGTGCCACGGCACGGGGGAATGCCCAAGGAGATGTGTGCCCAGAGCTGGCCACACAGCCTGTGCTTGGCCTTGCTCCAGTGGTGGTGGGGGGGGACCCGAGGAGAGCCCCTGCCCCTTCCGCTGGCTGGACCTGAAGAGCCTGGAGGCCAAGTGTGCTGTCTGCTCCATGATTCCCTCCCCGATCCGGGGGTGAGAAACCACGCCTGGAGCTGCGGCTGAGGGGGCAGGGATCTGCCCACGGCCGGGGAGGAGAGGAAGACGGGGCCAGGGGCTCCCGCGTCGCTGTCCCCGGCACTGACCCTGCCCAGGGCCCGGCAACCCCTGGATGGATGTTGCTGGATTCAGGCCGCTCTTCCTCTGCCCTGGGACATCTGCCAGGAGCCAGCAGTGCCAGAGCCTGCATGGGCTGACGTCCTTTAGACACCTCCCTCCAGGTAGGCAGCAGCCGGGCCTTGTTTGTTATCTCGTGTCACGTGTGTGTGAGGCTGTTGGTAGAACTGTTAGAGTTTGGTTTTTTCCAGTTTATCCACCTGTATTAATTTTGGTTTTTGAGATGTAATTCACGTACCACGTAGTCCACCCTTTTAAAGTGTACAATTCGGTGCACATTAGATGTGCAGACTGGTGCAGCCATCACCAATATACAATTCCTGCACACGTTTGTCACCCCCAAAGGAACCCAGGACCCGTTAGCCTTGACTCCCTATTCCGCCCTCTCTCCGGTTCCCCGTAACCATGGATCCGCTTTGTCTCTAGGGATTTGCCCATTCTGGACTTTCCACATGAGTGGACGCATACAATACGTGGCCTTTTGTGTCTGGTTCCTTTGACTTAGCATGATGTTTTCAAACTCGCCCATTTTCCAGGTGAGGCAACTGAGGCTTGGGAAACTCAAGGCCGCCTGTCGCGTGAGGTGCAGAGTTGGGTTGGGACTGATTTTGGGTTCAATTCCATTGTCCATTTTCTTTCTGCTCCTAGGAGTGGCCAAGGGGGGTGGGAACTAGTTGACCCAGGGGGTGGGGATGGGGCCCCTGCCCCCCAGTGCCCTGGCTGTTGGCGGAGACTCTGACCCAGTGAGGGGGACCCAGAGCTGGCAGCGGGTTTGGATGGTCCGAGACGTATCATCTACACCCTGTGTGCTTGGCACTGTGCTGCTGCCCAGGAAGGCTGGGCTGTGATAGGACCCTTCACGGAGGGTCCTTCACGGAGGGTCCTGGGTAAGAACGAAGCATGGCGGGTAAGGGTCGTGCCGAAAAGAGAGGCAGTGTATGAAGTGGCTTTGGGGTTGGACTGGTTGTGAATACTTTCTGCCATTTACTTAAGATTTGGAAAGTTCATGAACCTCCTCTACGAATCAATTTCCCCACCAGCAAAACAGAGCAGCCTTACTGTGTGTGAGGCAATGTGGGCTTACGGTGTGAGAACTAAAGGTGATCATGTACTTACAGCAGCTGGTGGGGGCACCCAAGCAATGGTAGTTTTATTTCCAGAAAAGCTAGGTTGGGAGTATGAGGAGGTGAACACTGAGCTTCCTGGCAGCTAAGGGGAAAAGGGAAATAGGACCACAGGGCTTATGCCAAAGCTGGAAAGCACCTCAGGGAGGTGGTGGCCTGGCACTAACACTGAGCAGAGATGAGGGTGGGGCTCTTGCAGGGATGACAGGTGTCACCCCTGGGTACAGTCGTTTCCATCTCTGACAGGTGGAGGGGATTCTCATAGGACTGAGCCTCAGATCGGCCATGATCACGCAAGGACGTGATGCACAGAAATGCAGGCTGGGATGCTGCCCTCTGATGTCTGAGCTCGTGAGGCAGGTATGATCATCTCCTGGACTGACCTCCTCCAACCGCGAGCGCCTCCCCCTGGTTCGGGATAGCAGCTGGAGGACAGAGGGGCTCAAGCGGCGTGCTTGAGATCAGGGTGGTGGCACAGGGCTCTGGGTCTGGAACATCGGAGCTGACTCCGCCTGCCATTTACCGGCCCTGGCTCCTTGGCCAGGCTCCGTCCCCGCTCTAAACAGCCCTGGTCCTCAGGTTGCTGACCCAGGAAAACCTCCGTGAGTGCTATTCTTAGCCTCGGTGTCCTTCCTGGGACCTGGGTCAGCACCTCCTCCTTTCCTTCCTTCTCCAGCCCTTGGTTCCCATCCTGTTTGTTCCCCTCTAAAACGAAACTGAGGGCAGCCCCTCCCTCCCAGCATAGCCATGGGGATGAGCTCAGATAGACCCCCAGAGCCTGGCCTGTCTCAGGATCCCGGTCAGTGGTGACACGTGTGCTTGAGTGCAGAGACCCTCCTGTCTCAAGTGACAGCTGTGAATGGGCGAGGGGACTCGTTCTCCTGCTCTGAGCAGCATGGGCTACAGGGGGTCCGAGTGTCTTGGGGAGGTGCCCTTCCAGTGGCTCTAGGTGCCCCCAGGTGATGCACAGGGACCGCAGCAGCCCAGTACCTGAGGGGTTGCCTGTGTCGCACACAGGATGGCGGCCACATGCCTCCCGTGGAAGGCTTGGGTTTTGAACGGGACACGGCAAGGGACACAGATGCTGAACCTGTTTGAGCAGGTGAGTTGTGATTTTTTTTAAAATGAGATTCACGTAACATAAAGTTAACCGTTTTGAAGTGCACGCTGCAGGGGCATTGGGTACCTCTGCACTGGCACACAAGCACCTCCTCCATCGCTTCCCCAAACGCCTTCCTCAGCAGTAAGCCCCCTGGCAACCCCTACTCTAGTTTCCATTTCTATAGATTGAACTCTTCCAGACGTGTCGTGTGCACGGGATCGTGCAAATGTGGCCTTCCGTGACCGGCTGCTTTCACTCAGCATAGGGTGTGTAAGCGTCGCCCGTGTTGTGGCCGTGGGGTCAGGACTTCGTTCCTTTTTATGGCTGAATCACGATCCACTGCATGGATAGACCTGGGTTTGTCCATTCGTCCACTGATGTTTCTACCTTCTGGCTCGTGTGAATAAGCTGCGGTCACAAGTGCTTGCTTGCTTAAGTGCCTCAATTCTTTTGGGCCTGGTATATACCCGGGGGCGGGGAATTTCTCGGTCACGTGGTATTTCCATCTTTAACTGTTGGGGGAACCGGACTGGGATCTGACCGTATTAATCCGGAGCCGTTCCTCTGCACCTGTCTCTGCTGTGTGCGAGGTGGTTAGAGCACAGCATTGGGGGGCTGAGAGCTGCTCTGGGTTTGGATGAAGCAGTGCCACGTGGCTGTGTGACCTCTGCTGAGCTGCTTGCCTTTGGGTATCGGTTTCCCTACCTGCGGATCCCAGGATGACGCAGGAAGCAGCGACGGCACCTGCCAAGTGCCTCGCACTGGAGTGTAAAGTAAGTGGAGGCGCTTATCCCTTTTAGGGTTGATGTTTGTTCTCTTCAGAGCCTATTCCACCCACTCGGAATCTGAGGAGGTGCTTAAGTGCCCGTGGGTGCAGTCAGCTCCGAGGCTACAAGAGAGCTGGGGCAGAGGGTCACGGGCCCAGAGGGCGGGCTTCCTCAGTTGCGCCTCCAAGAGCCTCCACCCCCTGAGCTTATTTTTTGTAAAACAAACAGCCTGGAACGGTAGGGTGGGGTGAGGTGACGCTGTCAGCAGGACCTCCTGCAGTGGCCTTCTCGTGAGCCAGGCAGTTCTTAATCTTCAAAGGGAGGGTCTTCTCCCCACTTCACATATGAGAAAACAGAGGCTCAGTGCAAGGATGCTGACGTGTTCAGCTGGGATGTGAATCTGCATTTTACGCTTCCAACAAGCCCCCATGATTTCACTGGGCACCGCGGCCCAGTTCCAGGCCCTTTCTCTCTCTCCTCCTCCCCTGGCTCCCCAGCAGCCCCCTCCCTACCTGCCCTCCTTTCCGCCCTGCTTTGGGAAAGGGAGGCATGGCTCTCTTCTTGTCCCTTGGGACTTTTGTGTATTGTCTCTCCTGCACCGCGGCCAGGGAAGTTACAGAGGTTCCAGCATCAGACTTGAAATCACCTTTAAGTCTAGGTTCTTCTGGCTTGTTGGAACAGGGTGTGCAGTCAAGGATCGACTGTGTCCAGGGAGGTCTGGCTTTTGCCCTCGGCTCTTAGGAGGTGATGAACCTCTAGGACCTTGGAAAGTCCTGACACGTGTATCTTTGTTTACCTGGGGCCACTCGGGATCAGCTTGACCTCCACAGGGGCTGGAGGCTAAGGTCAGCCAGAGCCGCCCCCCAGTGCAAACTCTGAAGGTGAGCTTCCCTGGTTGGCAGTTCCCTATGCGTAATGAATGTCACAGGGCAGCTCTGGGAGAACCAGGTGCTGTCTGCACGTGTCACTGGGAAGGGAAGGGACAACCCTAAGCTTGGTCCCTCCGGGACCCTCCGCCGTGCTGAGTTCCGTCTGTATGCTTTTGCTGCCATAATCCGTTAACCACGAGTAGAATGGCTTGGCTGAGTTCCGAGAGACCTTCTGG